GCTCTATCTTGTGGAGAAAGTGGATTCCCCATCATGGAAAATAATAAATACAGACCTGGAAGACACAAGAAGGTCCTACAGGGAAAGAGGCCTACACTAGATGGAAGCAGTGAAGATTGAAATTCCAATAAATTGGTTTTCTTTTTTTCAGTACCTGGGATTTGAACCCAGATCTTGCACTTGAGTCCAACACCCAGTCCTTTTTTATTTGTATTTTGTTTTTAGACAGGGTCCTCACTAACTTTGCCCAGGATGACCTAAACTCAATGATACTCTGCTCCATCTCCTGAGTAAACTGGGATTACAGAAGTAAACCACTATGCCTGGCTAGTCCTACTATTTTTTTCTGATAATTGCATTTCTCCAAGATAGAATGAAAGGGATCAAAAGACCAGATTAACTCAAAAACAAAACAGAGAAAAGGGGATGAGAGAAATCTATAGACCATTGACAGCATCAAATAGAAAACAACGAAAAGTGAAGTGAATAGAGAGAACACAAGAACTTGAAGGAATAGGTTTAGGGCTTTGTTAAAGTGGCGAGAAGGCTGGGAAATAGGGAGAAGCCAGAAGCAAGGAGGTCAGAATTTGGAGACAAGTAATCAGACAAAGGGCACAAGGTCAAGCGCAGCCAGGAAGCAGAGTCATCTGTGTCCCAACAGCTTCAGGTAACTTCAAGGTAACCTCCTTAGTATCATCTGTTATAAGAAGAATAATTTGGTCTTGGTTAACCTTTTTTATTAACTACATTTGCAACGCAGTGTCTCAATACTTTTGTGGACTTCATACTTCCAACACATTGGGGTGCATTAAAAGACTCATCAAGATTGTTATCACAGGACAGTGTGCAAGAGACTGCATTTCATCCCAGGATGTTAGCGAGCAGTTGCTAGAGGGTGTAGAGACATGCTAAGGCTGAAGAAGCAGGATTGTCCCAGTCCTCAGTCGGGAAACACTTCCCATGCATGAACTACATTTAATCTTTACACATTCCTGCTGTCCAGATTGAAGAAGAGAAATGGCTTAAGAACACACCAAGAGCTCTGAGTGGTAGTACCTGCCTGCAATCCCAGCACTCAGGGCACTGAAGCAGGAGGGTAGTAAATTCAAGGCCAGCCTAGACTACCTGACCCAAAACAAAACAAAATCTTCAATTGACTAAACTTCAGGGCAACACAGAGGTCTGAAATGGGGCTAAAAACCTATAAGGTGAGATGCCACATCAAATCCAGCTGCTTCTTACAACCTTAGGCAACGTGTAACTTTACATATTTTTAGCTTCTTTGCTCTTCTGTAAAAGAGAAGTACATGGTACCTTCTCTGTGGGGGTGCTGCAAGGATTAAATTAGGCAGTGGGTATCACGTGCTTAGCTTGTTCTCCAGCACACAAGAAATGCTCAATAAATGTTAGTTTTCTTTGGACTGAATCCCTGAATCCACTGCTGATTGGGAGGGAGGAAGAGAACTCCAATGGCCATCAGGACAGCATGTGTTCAGCAGGGCTAGACCCTCTGCAGACAAAGACATCCCAGCCTCAAGCCTCAGTGGAGGAGCCTCCTTTCAAAACAAAGCCTAGTAGGTAGAATGGCTGAAGGTGAGACTTCACTGTCTGCAAGGCACTTCACTTTCTCAGGATACATTTTTCTTGAGGGCCTACTATGTAGGTTTTGCATTTGTAATTTCATTTGATTCTTATAACAGTCTCTGAAGAGGTCAATGTTATACCCTTTCATAGCTGACAAATGGGATCTCAAGTAGATTACATGACTGGCCCAAGATTCTTCAACCAGGAGGAGTGAACTCCACAAGTTCAGACTCCAAAGCTGTCATCTCTAACACGCCTCTCCCTTACCTCTGGAGAGGGGTGGGTCATGCATCAGAAATGGGGGCGAAGTGTGGCTGAGGCAGATAGAGCAATTTTAAGTCATTGCTAACAAGCTGGACTGGCCAAGAGCACTGCTGATGAATTTTGAGAAATGCCAATGATATAGAGTGATAATAACACCCAATATTTATTAATCCCTTAGAGTCCATCATGAGCGGAGGGCTTCATATGCACAATCCCATCTGATCTGTGTAACAACCTTACATGTTGAATGCCATTATTATGACTCCTATTTTCCAAATAAGGACATTGAGACTTAGAAAGTTTAAATAATTTGTGAACCCAAATCTGTCTGCCCCTGAGGCTGCACCCTAATAGTGTGCTATCTTTCTTGGGGCTAGAGAGGAAGTTGGCATTGACCTAGGATGGATGACCAACAGAAGGAGGGCTGGCAGAAGCCAAAGGACCAGGAAATGAAGGGTACTGAGCCCAGGAGGAAGTGTTCTCTAGGTGCAGCTGGCACGTTTCTGAGATATTCAGAAGTGTAAACCTAAGATTAATGCACTTTAATATGTGAATTCAATATTCTGATTAAACAAAGTGGTAAAAAAAAAAAGGCAAAAGTGTAAGAGTGAGGCAGAATGTGTTCAACATGGAAACAGAAAGAAAGGGGATGGAAGCACTTGGAAGAAACAGCAGATGTTATCACGAGGGCTGAAACTCAGCAGGGAGCAGAGCATGGACCTGATGTGCCCACATATGGAAGGGGAATTGAATAGGCCAAGGGGCAAGGGTGCCGTCAACAATCCACCACTATGTGTCAACATTTCACATGTGTTCACTTACTTCATCTGGTACAAATTATTGGTGCCTCTGTGGTCAATGTCATGGCAGAAAGCAGCAGCAAGCATGGCAAAAGCTTCAAGATCCGTGTAGTATTTCTTTAGTTTTCCTGTCTAAAATATAGACAGAGACATACTTACGTGGATTAATTCACCCTCTGTAGCCAGGTTCAGCCTTTGAGCAGAAGGACCCACCATTTTCCGAGGGCTGCTTTATTACTTGTGAGTCTTGTGGAATTCTGGGTAATTCTACAACCTAACAGGCAAACTGAATTTTTCTTGAAGAAGCAAGTCCATGGTGTCTGAAATGATAATCCAGCCGAGTGTCCAGGCAAACCCATATCTCTGGGGTCACCTGCAAGGGACTGGCTTTTGTGGGATTGTGCCATGAATTTCAAATGACAGATCCCTCAAGATGGATCATACCACATTTCTCACACTGTTCAAGCGAAAAATTCCCAGGTTACAACGATTTCCAGTCCTTCTGTACCTACCATCAACAAAGTAAACATGGTCTGCCCCACATTGAATGACGGAGCGGTACCCTTTCCTCACGGTGTACATCCATCTGGTAAGAACCTGTGACCCAAAGGCGACAACACCACTCAGACTTTGGAATAGAATTCTAAAGGTTAGAAGGCCTTGTGTCTTATATCTAAAAATATGTGTTGGTTTTGTTGACAGAGTTTAAGCTGATGTATTACCAAGTTAATGATAATTTAGAATCCAAACTGAGTTAATCTTTTGAACTGCAGAAAACATTAGTAAAACCCAGCAACAGAATCAAACAGCAATTTAATGAAATACCATCTAACCTCCACAGGCACTTTGAATTTCTCCACCACATTTATTTCGAAAAACAGTCGTAGGCCACATTTAACCACTCGTGCTGTAATGGGGAAGTCACTGAAGTGAAATTCGTATAGGTCCACGGCCTCAGCGTCTGGCAAGTCCTCTTTCTGTCGAAAGGACAGTTTGTTTCAGATCACAGGCAAGCTTTTCCCTTTTTGCTCACATACCCAACATTGAATGTAAAGCAAAATTATGATTAAATAATGCCTCAGGCAATTCACCAAGCCATGCCCGGGGTTGTACAGTTTGCATAGGTTATGGTCACAACAAACCTCCATTATTATTCCCACGTTACAGGCAGTGAAACTGAGAGTCAGCCATATTAGAAAAAATAAGTGAGGGGTTCAACTCCAAATCCAGCCCCAGTGGTTATTTTCTTTCCATGAGAAAATAAAACGCTTAGCAATAGCAGCCTCACGCATTTTTTTCAATGCTCCTCCTTTCTCTTCATCAGTAAGTTTGGGTGGTTGTTTAATTCAGTTCTCTAGTATTTTCTTTATTTGCTCAGTGATGGTTTCACACTTGACTGTGAGCTCTGCCAGGGCAGGAATCATTCTCTTATTTGCAGCCATATCTCAGAAGCTGCAGTGTCTGTCCCAGGAATGTACTCAGTAAATGTTTGCTGAATGAATGAATGAATGAACGGCCACGGTGTGTAATAGATAGTGTAGGCATGTCTTTGAATTCACCTCTCATTAGGATTTAGGAGTATGTGAAACAGTGAACTAAGTACTCGAGCATTGACCATGACTTAGGAAATAAAAATATGGAGCTTATCCTTAAGAAGCTTAAATGACGTTTATAAACTACAGAGCAGTGAAAGGTGAGATATTAGCATAATTAGAGAGCACAGCATTGTGTTCTTAGTGATGGGAGAAATGGAATCCCACATTAATCAAAAGAGGAGGGATTCCAGAGGGGCTGGAATGGAGCTGAGCTGGTGAAAGGAAGGAAGGGAGGAAGGAAGGAAGGGAGGAAAGGAGAGAAGAAAGGAGAGAGAGGGAAGGAGGAAGGAAGGAGGGAGGGAAGAGAGGGAAGAGAGGAAAGGAGAGAAGAGGGAGGGAGGGAGAAAGGGAAAGAAGGAAGGAGGAAGTGGAGAGGATTCCATGGCAGAGAGAAAACACCAAGAGACAGGCATCAGCAGCAGCTGGGTGGGTGTACGCAATGGACCTGTAGTGACCTATTATTGACAATCAGTTCAATGACTATTTCCTGGGTGCACGGTACGTCCTTAATACCACAGAAGTAAGAAAGGCAGGTCTCTTCCCTCAGTAAGTTGAACAGCTCATTCTCTAGTGATACAAATTTCAACGTGAAATGGTATGTGCTTGCTTTAAGCAAAATTATTATTTCTGGCTCCCTTACCCCTGTGCCAGGGCTGGCCCCTCACACTCTTGCCCTTCCCTTGCTGGGGTTTCCAATGTCCTCCTGTGCTCCCTCCTCATCACTGCCACTCTCTGACTGGTCCCTTTAGGCAGAGATGGTTTTTCCCTGCAAAGCAATGGCTTGGAATCGAGAAACCAGTGTTCAGTTCTGCGTTTTGATGAGATACATCTCCACACCTGAACAGGCCTCAGCTGTGAAATGGGAAAGTAAGCATAACCCTTTTCTTTATTGTTTTTAGTTTAAAAGTAATCTCAATTTTCATTCACATCTGTCAAAGAAAATTAGAGAGGATTCCATCCACGGCCCATAGGAACACTTCACAAACTCTGTACTTTGCTTCCCCGACTTCTTTCTCTCTCAAACCTTTCTTGATCAGGCAGGCCCCTTCTTCTTATTCATTCATTTGTTATTTATTCATTCACAAATCTCTTTTGGTACCTATATGTGTTCTAGGCATTATGGGTAAAGCAATGAATGAAGCAGGCACAGTCACTGTCTGTGAAACATGACAGGCAATAAGTGAATCAGAGCAGGAGGCTGAGAGAACTGTGAGGTGGGGGTGTCCATGCCATGTGGGCCTCCTGATGGACAATGTCTTAGGCCCTGTCCCACAGTGTCACATAAAGACAGTGAACATACTTTTGACTGCATTGCAGGATCACTCCACACTAAAGTGTAAATGTGCATTTTCGAGGAAAAAAGTAAAGGCTGTCAGAATGACTCCGAGGCCCCACATGCAGTCACAGGCAAGCCGATAAAATATTACTCCAACACAGAAAGGCAGGTTTTGAAGAAGTGCAGTTTTGAAGTCTGTGATAAGACAGATTGACACAGACAAAAGCTGTCTATTGGTCTAAGAAGTGGGCACTGTGACTCCCCAGCCCTCATGGCTATGCAGTCGCCCTGCTCAGGTCTCCTGCATCCAGCCCGGATGTCTCCCTCTGTTCCCAGAGAGACCCCCGCCAAGTCTGATAGGTGACTTCCCAAGACACAGCATGCAGGTAAATCACAGTCTTGTTTTGGGTCAATGCCAGCCGGCAGGCAGCTTTTTTCTCCTTCCAATTGGTGCTCCAGTCATACCCAGCCAATTTGGTTTTGTGTGACAGCATGCTCTCTTGTGTCCCCATAACCCTGGCCTGTGTTGTCCTTGCTTCCCACACCTCCCTGCAGCCCTCATCACCAGTCCCTTCCTTTCCCTCAGGTCCTAGCACCATGCCTCTCCGCGTGGCGACATCAGTGTGGAATGTTGTGCTTCATAAGCGCATGCGTGGGGCAGTGGCATTGCTTGTGTTTTGTCTCCCAAATGCACTGAATCCCAACCAGATGATATACTAGCGGCCTCTGAACCAAACCTGGATCAAAATGTCTTTTGCCTTCAGCACCTAGCACTGTTCCTTTTATTATGGGATGTCTCAGTGATTGCCGAATAAGTGACAAAATTAGATTCAGGATGAGGGAATAAGTCACTTTCCTGGGAAACCCTCTGCAAATCTTCCATGGCTGGGTAAGGGGTGCCAAGGTATCCAAGAGAGCTGGAGGGTGTTCATCCCTCCTTGCCCATTATAGCACTGCTAACTCTATTCCTTCCTGGCAAGAGACACAGAGCCCTTGTCACACCTAGCAAAGAGGGCTGAGCCTCCCAGAACCTAAAATTAAAGCCACAACACAGGTGAGCAGAGATGGACAAGTAACCACAAGTAGAGAAATTATGCCATGGTAATTGGGAGGACTCCACTGGCATATTTGTTTATTGTTTTAATTTCCTAAATTTTATGCAACATACTTGGGATTAGCTCAAAGTAGATTTTTCATTCAAAATAGTCTGAGAGTTTGGTGTTCTAGTATATGAGCCATTTCACTGCTTCTGCAACATAAGGTCCTTCCTCCTGTACACAAGGAATGAGAGAATTTCTAGTGTCATGCATGTTGACTACAGTTTTGTTTTGCAAGATGAGTATTGTTGAGGGCAGGTGAGGAGGAAGAAGGGCTGTCTTCTGAACCAGGCATAAGAGGTGGTGCTCAGAGATTGGAATTTTAAGAAAGTGAGAGAAGGAAGGCAAGCCTCAGGTGATACAAAAACAATGGAGGGTGGGAACTGAGCCCTTGACAAGGGGATCAAAGGCCACTGGTCTTTGGCAGCAGGGCAAAGAGCCAGGATGGGAGGATTGGGGCCAATAAATTGGGACAGGGGGGAAGGGAGCTAATGAGATAGCTAGTGTGTTTTAGTTTAGAAGGAGCACTTACATCACAGATTGGGAAGGGGTGGAGGAGGACAGGGTGAAGCAGGTAGGAAGTTGAATGTGATATTATTTCAATTTTAGTCAGACTCTAAAATCTTGGTAAATATCTCAAGTCCACAGGGGTCACAGATCTATGCTCCACCCAGTAGAAAGTGCAAAACTGCAGAACATCATAACAGAATCTAAAAGCATACTCTTCACCTGACAAAGAAAACCCAACCCTCTTTGCAAAAAGATTATAGCACTCGGAGCCCCTACAAGTGTTCACTCACAATGTCTGGTCTTTAGTTTAAAAAATCATGAAGTGAGGTTTTAAAACAGTATGTAATAACTGAAACCCAAGTTTGAAAAATAGACAGTAGAAGCAGACCCAGAGGTGATTTTAGGAATCAAGGTGAGATCTTTAAGAGAATTATGACTAATAAGCTTTTTAAATAGAGGAAAGGATAATCAAAATAGATTAAAATGATGAAATGTTCCAACATAGAGTTGGAAGCTTAAAAAAAAAAGAATTAAGCACATGCCTGTATCCAGCATTTGGAAGGTCTAAGCAGGAGGATCACAAGTTCAAAACAAAGCAAAATCATATCTCAAACAACAAAGCCACAACAAAACCAACAATAACAACAATTAAGTATACTTTCTAAAATTAAAAAAAAGAAAAAAACCTCTAAAATTAAGAACTGATTAAATAGATTTAACTGTAGTAGTGCATGATGAAAACCAAGGGTGAGAAATGAAGACATTAACTTCAACAGAAATAATAGCACTGGCCTGACAGCAACAACAGGGAAGCAATGAAATCTCTAAACTCCAGAAAAGAATCTAGAGATGGCAGATGCCATTAACCTAGACGGGCCCATGTTCTACTGTACCTCTGGCACATTTTGGGTGGCTAGGTTCAATCCAAAACTGCTAAAACAAACGAGGCCAGGATATCCCTAGGTTCTGGGCCTGAGAGGCCTCATGCAGTAATCTAGTTTATCTGTGATGTAAATCATGTTTGTGAATTGAGCTCTAAGGAACAAAGGTGAAGAAAAGCAGGAAATCAAAAGATCAGTCTTTGGAAAAAAAACTCCTTTGTTTTAGTCTTGAAAAATGTCAGGGAAGAGGAAAGTTAACATTTACTTGAAAACAAGAAAGCATGTCCTAATACATTTATCTAAAAGGCTTTAAAGATAGAAGAAAAACACTTACCAACACTGTGAGAAGCTGTTTCTCTTGACAGTCTTCAATTGCATCCATATTTAACTTCTCTTTAAATCTCTAGAACGTAAATGCAATTGAGGTGTGAAATTCCTATGAAGATGATTTCTATCTGATTCCTGTACTATTAAAATCAGTTAAAACATATTCAAAATACACTGCATCCTTATTCCATGACAAGGACATATGATGGATACAAAGAAACCTGTAGCATCTGATTATAAATAAATAAACTAATACAATTGATTTCTCTAGTTGCCAACATGTAACAGTAACCATCTTAAAAACTAAACCAAATCAAACTATGGGTTGTGTGTATATAGGTAAGAAAAAAAAAATGAAAAGTTGGTAGCTTACATTTGTTTTCTAATAGCTGATAACAATTTCACATGGTTCCCTCCACCCCAAACCTTCTCATATTTAACATTTCAAACTCTCAAATCAAATCTTTTAACTCTCAGCACCCCTAGCAAACCAAAACCAAACAAATGCTTTGCCCAAACTACACATGTACACACACTTGAAAAGCTAGGGAAATGCAAGGAATAGTGGCAGTGGGTATGTGATCTTTTCCCTCTGCATTGTGATAATTTGAACACTGTTAGCAAAATTCCACCTGCTTCCTAACTCTCTACCATGTTGGTCCTGGTCATGTGAGTTGCTTTGGTCAATGAGAATTTTAGGAACTGAAGTTCGCGAAGACTTGAAGTCTATGGGCTTGCTCTTCTGTGCCTCTGTCATCACTGTGAAAGGAGCATCTATGAGAGAGCTGCTGGTGCGTGAGTGATGAAAGACACAGAGCAAACCAGACTCACATCTTGGAGCCATACTCAGTCAAGCCTGACCAGCCCACAAACGCAGAGAGGGACAGATGTTTATTACTGCATGCCACTTACGGCAGTTGTATGTGTATTTCCAGCCATAATCTGTGTGCACTGGACACTGAGTGCCTCTTCCTACCCCTCTTTCTCTGTCTTCCTTTTCTTATCCCAGGACTGAACTTATTCTCATTTGTCAGACTCCTGGAGACTTGCAGAAGCCACGGTTAAATACCACCTAATGTCCATAGAACTGGACTCCCCACTTACCAAAATAGATTTGATTTCCTCGGGAGTGGCTTTGATGTGGCTCATAAGCATTTCCTGAACAATGTCCTTTCTGTTTCTAGCTTATTCATTTTCTCATAGGTGTCAGTATTTAAAAGAGACCATCCAAGAAATTGTGTAAGAGTCTAGAATGTAAAAAAATGTGACTCACATTCTCTAAAGTTAAATGAAAATTGATTTGGGGGTAGTACTCTGCATGAGTCCCCACCAATTGCTTGTCCTCCCACCATCAACAACACATTTATTTTAACATAAGAAAAAATATGAATTTACTACCCACATAATAAAATTGGCCATGCATCATGAAAACTCTGTTGCAGGAGATGAATTACAAACACCACTAGAATAAAGCAAGACATAAAAATCTGATAGAAGACTAAGGGTGAGACTGAGAAGGAGGAAGAAGAGGGAAGAGAGGAGGAAAATAGAAATATTCCTTCCTGTTTTTACAGGATTGGAAAGAATTGGGGTTAAACCAAAACTTTATACTTTAATAGAAATTTGTGTAAGTCAGGAAATAGAAATGACACAAAACAACATTTTGATTACAACTATTAATGACTTACATCTTAATTGCCTTTCAAATATCATTCTAGAATAACAATTATGTGTTCTCTATTAATTCATGAATTTCACTTACCGCCATTACTTCATTATTCTGCTCACCTCTGTAATGTGCTCGTCATGCTCATCAAAGGGTTTGCCATCCTTCCTGTTGTAAAACGTCACCACTCCCACAATGTCTTCTTTCTTGTTGACAATTGGCAGGGACAAGACGTTTTTAATGACCCAACCAGTTTCATCAACAGGTCCTTTCTACAAAAAAGAAAAGAAAGGAATTTAGGTTATTTTATTTTTTGCTTCATAATTTGAAATAGTTACAGATCCACAGCCGCAAGAGATGTACATAGAACTTCCAAGTACTCCTCACCGTTTCCATCAGCGTAACGTCTGATAACCATAGCACAGAGTCAAAACCACGAGGCCGTGCATAATCCACAGAGCTCATTTGGATTTCACCAGATTTCCATGTACTTATTCCTACATGTGTGTACATATGTGAAATTATAGTTTTACACAAATTTACCTGATGGGAAATCAACCACCATTAGAATCAAGATGGTGATTTCATCACTTCAAGGCTCCCTTGTATTATCCTTGAGAGCCACAACCCCACCATCTACAACTTACTTTATTTTTAATTTAAGTAAATCTTTGTGTGTTATATGCACAATTCACAGTTTGCATCAGAGCATGGCTGAACTATGTAGCCATTGTAAGTACTCTACAATCCATCCATCAGGCATTCTGAACTAGAACCGAATGGCTATGTTTTAACAACTCTTTTACCCTTTGTTTCCCAGCCCTTGGGATGGAAAAAGTTTCTTACCATCATGTTACCTCACTGTTCCATTTTCAGTTTTTCCACTTTGCAATGACTATTTAGCTAATTTCCTCTATTAAATTCTCTCTGTTGAAATACCTAGCGTGTTTCTATTTTCCTGACTGATCCATTAAGTCTTATGTTCTATGGTACATTGAATTTAGTAAGCAGCTGTCAAGCCCTATGATGTGCCGAGAACTGGACTAGTTTCTGAGTTGCAAAAGTGACTAAAACACAGGCCCTACCCTCAAGATTCTTGCAGTCTAGTGGAGGGACACAGGCACAAAGGTTCAGCAGTGTTTCTTAAAACGTGACCCGAGGACCACATGCAACACATTCATTTTAGCTTGTTTCAGTCTCTGGGCATGCATCTTAAGTACACTGCTTGGGGAATTCTGACGATTTTTCAAATATGAAAACCACAATGTGGTATCTGCATAGTATGCAGCTAAGGCAAAGAGAACCAGGCACTCAACACACCACACTGCTCATTCTTTAAGCCACCCATGTTTTATTTAGTCCCCATGGAGACCCAGGTTAAGTCTTGCCTCTCCCATGAAGCCTTCTCTTACTTTTCTACCCCAGCAATTTTTACCTAGATTATAGAGTTTAGCATCCAGACACTTTGTAAATGCTTCAAACTTATTGATTTTGGTCTTTAAAACTTATTAAAAGTCAGGGACAATTGCATAAACTATTAGATTTCACATAAGTGCTAGAGCAGTGTTGAGCATACAATTATTTATTATGTAAAGAAGTAATGCAAATAACCTGCTTATTGTGTATCACTATCCTTTATGAAGACTATAGAACAAAAAACAGAGAAACTAAATCTCTATTTATGGATCCTAACAGTCGAAGCTTTAGAATACTGAAGTGCATGATGTTCTCCAAGGCTTCCTCCTGGGAAACACTAAGAAGTATTTCTATTCTTATATCATCAAATGGACTAGGGACAAAACCAGGAACAGGAAGCCTACCACATGTGTGCAGAACGACAACTTTAAATACCCAAATGCATGTCTTAAAGCTTTCAAAACAAGCTTTCCTAACTACTTCTTGGTGTTTTGGGAAGTATTTGTTGGCTATCTGTCCACATTCATGCATTTTGACATTAATTAGATCTTCGACAGCAAAGTGATAGAAGGAACCTAAGATTTAAGAAAGATTAATAGGAAAAAACTTAAAAACTGAGAAAAATTCTATGTACTTTTCCCTCACTTTGAATTAGGATCACTTTAATTGATGTAAGAGAAAAGAGCACTGTGGAACCTCCCCAAAGATGTCAACATCTTAATCCCTGGAGACTGTGAATTTGACATCTTACATAGCAAAGGAGAATTAAAGTAGAGACAGAATTAAGTTTTCTAATAGGGAAAGTATCTTGGATTTTCCAAGATATATCATATCATATCATATCATTACATGACCTTAGAAATTGTGAAGAAGGTGGATACAGAATCAGAGGAGATAAAAATGGTAGAGCAAGTGATGCAGATGCTGGCTTTGAAGATGGAAGGGCCCTCAGGTCAAGGAATCCTTCAGCCTCCAGGAGCTGGAGAAAGCAAGGAGACTGGTTCTCCCCTAGGGCCTTCAGAGACAGACATAGTCTTGCCAAAACCTGGATTTTAGCCCAGTGTGACTCATTTTAGAATACTGCCCTCCAGAACTGTAAGATAATATTTATTTGTGTTGCTTCAAGGCAGTGGAGGTAATTTGTTACAGCAGCCATAAGAAACTTGTCCAAAGTGCTTTGAGGGACATAGTTTGAGAAACACTGCCTTTCCAGGTTTACTCTGACATTAGCTCATTTTGAATCATTGACTTTTCCATCAAACATATCAGGTGCAACAGGGAATAGTAAGAAATGCGGTAGCCCATGAATATGTAGAGACAATGGGAAAGGAGGGTGGAGATGGTGGTTTGGGGAGGGCATCTATTCTAGGGAATGGTGCTTGTGAGAGAAAGTGGGGGAGAGAGCCTTAAGGGGCCTAGAAAGCTGTCAGTTAGAGACATAGTCCTGACCCTGGCTAAGGGGAAAAGGAAGGACAGAAGGTTGAGTGCAAATACTTAAGTACAGTGCAGTTCTAGAATAGTCTACAGGGCTGTTGGGCATTCCTAGAGCCAATGTTGCCCATTAGAGAAGTCTGGTTGTTTCTCAGGATGGATGGGCCTGTGTTAGTATACCTGCCATGCTCAGTCACTGGCTGGGAGCACCCTGGAGAGCCAGGCTTCAGTGGATTTCAGAGCACAGTAGCCATTGGACAGTGGCCATTGGCAGTTGGAGCTCAGAGAAGCATACTTCATGAGCAAAACACCAACATTCCTGGAGTACTGGGGAATCCCTACAGATTGGAGGTTTATTGCACTAGGGGAACTGCCCAGGCCCCAGGGAGGTCCCAGCCTCCTCTCAAGGTGACCAGAGAGGCTGTCCCATAGTGTGACTGCTCCTACAGTATCCACAGTGTGTTTTGAGAGAAAGCACAGTCCCTCACACTTCAGCAAGTACCTGGTTCTTCTGGGAGAACTGCATCCCCACTCCCTGCTCAAAGTTCAGACACTAGAAAAGCACTATCCTTTTTTCCTGTCTGTGCATTCTACCCTGGCACCCTATTGCCATTAATATAGGGGTCAAGGCTGGGCACAGTATGGTCACAAGCAGGCTGCTGTTATAGGGAGGAAGGAGTGAGAGCCAATAGGACCATATGGTATTTTCACATCAGTAAGCAAAGTGATGGGCACGCAGATCCAGGGGAAACCCTCTATGTAACCAAGCAGGGGTACACAGATTTTCCCAAGGCCTGGTTTGGTTTGCGGCAGGGGCTACACCAGTCACACCACAAGGAAGCCGACTTTTCCATCCAGGCATAGATGTGTGTGCAGTGTCTGTGAGTCTGTATGACAGACAGAAAGATAGACAGCAGCAGTGCCCACTGGGGAGGGAGGGTAGTCTCTACTCCTAACCTGGATTAGGGCTTTAATTAAATGTCTGTTGAATGTAGAACAGACAGCAATAAGTGCCAGCAGGCAGAAAGAAGAGAGTGTGGAGCAAGTGCCAGCTTATCTTCTATGGTAGGCAAAGACAGAGGACACTGGAGCAGAAAGGTCATGCTGGCCCTTTTGGTGTACTAGATGAAAAGGGGGTGAATGAGCCCCCAAGTCCTATGGTTAAGTCCAAGCAGAAAGTCATTGCTTTTGTTGACTTTTTGATGCTATAATAGCATATCACAGATTGTATACTTTATAGAGAAAGGAAATTCAAATTTCTCATAATTCTGGAGGCTGAGAAGTCCAATAGCACGGCTCCACCATCTGAGAGGGCCTCCTTGCTGCATCTTAACACGGCAAAGAGCATCACATGGCAAGATGGCAAGAGTGTCAGCGGAGTTTCTCTTTTTCTGATGAAGCCACTAATACTCTCATGGGGACCCCACCCACATGACCTCATGCAACCCAAACTACTTCCCAAAAGCCCCACCAACAAATGCCATCAACAAATTTATTTAGGGATCAAGTTTTCAACATATGAATTTCAGGGGACACAGCTGTGATGGTGGGAAGGAGTGGGTCAGTCAGGCCGCAAACACAGAGGGAGCTTGTTCAAGGGCACCTTTGTGGTGAGTAAAAGTGTATTCTCCAGGAAACAGGTCTCTGTGTGTTGGGGAAAGATGGGTAAAATCTAGGTACCCAATAAGAATTTTTTCTTTTGTTGATCACAGTTGCAATAAGGGCAGGAAGGGCTACTGAGAAAGCCACCATCAGGGCTGGATTCAGGTTACAGTCTATAGTCAATCAATCATTCACACAAAGAATGTTTACTGAACACCAGTAATGAGTTAGGCTCTGTCTTGCCACTAGAAGACCATAAGTAGGAGAGCATGGAGGAATGGCAGGGCCCCCTGTCCCCTCTCTTCTCCTCTCTAGTCCCTTCTTTTGCTGAAGAATTTGCTGGGAGGTGGCCACCGGTGCAGACAGGGTGAGGGCCCTGTGTTTGCCTGTTGGCCACACCCGAGCATAAAGCAGACCCGGGATGAAGGGAAGGGGAAAGCATCTAATCCCCACCCCGGCCTGGCTGTGGGCATGGTTACCTGAAAGGTGAAGTATTGATCCGCAGGGGCATTCAGCATGTTACATATCTGTGAGGGGAGAGGAGACAAGTCTTCCTGAAATGTGCTGTGGTGGAGTTATTACACCCACAAAGGGAGACAGAAAGAGCACATTAAGAATGAGGGGTCTCATATAGCTCTTGATTGCTTGCAGGCAAATTATTCACACTGGACCTAACCAGCTCATTGACATTAGCTTCTGTTCTGCTGCGTCACTGGGTGATACTCAGTACCATCTCTGCTACTCCCCACTCTCCAGGCCTATGAGGAATCCCCTTCAAATTCAAAACAACTCACTGTTCAGGCCAGGAAGAGAGAAAAGTGAACAGAAAGTCCATTCTATTGGGGCAGGTGAGCCATGATTGGCTCTGGAGTTGCCTTTTTTAATTCCTAAAGAGGGATTCAGGTAAGAAGAATGTGACTAAGGGACAGAAGGAAGAAAATCAGACAGCCTTTTGGTTGTACCAAAGTAAGGATTCACTGTACAATATCACTTTAACTACTAGAATTTAGAAAATATTGCTCACATCCAAAAGAACAAGAAGGTCATTGTGAATTATCTGTATTTCAGGTCATATTCACAAATCGGTCATAATAAAGACTATATCTTTCTTCCCACCAAAGTTACATTAGATACTTAAAATCACAGCATTATAAGGCTGAAAGGATATTAATGATTAAATTTAAGCTTTTCCTTTTAAAGGATGAGGAAATAAAATTCCAAAAGATTAAGTGATTGTTCAAATTCATGGGATAAAACTAGAATGGTGCTCTCCAGAGACAGACTGGGAAACCAGCTCTCCTGGCCACGGGCTGGGAACGCCTTGCTTGGTATCAATTACCCTTTGCATGGTGTCAGTACTCCCACCATGAGGGTTTCAAGCTGCTATCAGTTTAACAACTTGCTCAAAAATTCCTGAAAAATCTAAGAATCTTGGGAGTAGGTTTGAAGGGGTTCCCCACCCACCACACCAAACCCTGTCAAACCCCATGGCACCACAGTTAAGGACTTTCAAAAGGTAGTTGAACTACAACCAGTTTTGTACTTCTCTTACAAAGAGAGGAAAATCAAAGTTTTCATGAGAATTCATAACCTGAGAATTTAAAGAATCTTTTGTGCTATCCATTAATTTCATAATCTGATTTGGATGTATTACATTATTTGATGGGCTGAACATCCTTCAAGTGTGGTTTGAAGAGGCAAACCCAGCTTTTTCCTCTTTTCTGAACTTTTCATCAGCAATATGTGTTTAAGAACATACTTTAAGACCTCAAAAGAATATTAACAGTTGGATCAAGACCTTAGAGACCAAACTTTTTCTTTCACTATTCAGAAGTCTTCTCTTTCTCTCTCTTCAAAACATTGACCAAGGCATTTGAGATAGAAGTAAACCTACCACGAATCATAGCTCTAACTTTGAAAGAATGTCTAAAATTTGTCTGGCTGTAGAATAAGGAAGGAAGGATGAATCTTTCTCATGTTAACTAAATGTTTTCATATAGTTTCAAAGTTAGCCTACATTCAATTGCCACGACTATTCTCCCTTTATCCTATGCCAAAGGAAGTGATTACCTCACCCTTATGGGTTCATTCTTGCTTTGACAATTATATCTATTCTTAGCTAATATGAGTTTCACATGATGGAATTTAGAATTAGAGTTTGTCCAGTAACTTACAAATCCATTTTCAGCAACGTATGTTGGCAACCCGCTAATGAGTGTCCAGTGGTCTGCAGGAGGTGTCCTTAAGAAGAATAGAAGAAAGAAAATATTGCTATATAGAGAAATGCAACATATGCAAAAATAAAATGGCAACTCTTTCAGCTACTTTGTGACAACACTCACGGAATCACTTTGATCTCTTCTTTTCCATGTAAAATGTAATCAATGACTTTATAAAAAATGATTTCCTAGGAGAGAAGGCAGAGATTATGCACATAATATGTTTCCCAAAGACAACACTTTTTACTGAAGAACTTGTATTTAAAACTTGTGCAAACAGTACCTGGTTTCCTAGCCGCATTTTCCTGCATAACATAAATTACCAAAGGACTCATCCTAATTGCAAGCTTATAATAAAATAAGAAATAGTATTGACTGTTTATAAGTACTAAGGTTACATAGACTAAATTTCATTTTAAGAATTTGCATTCACCCAAATAGCTTTGGGATATGTATGTGTGTGGGGGGTGGGTATATTTGACTACTTAATCACCAGCTGATCTGTTTTTATTTTTAACTGATCCCTTTTCACACACGATGTGAAGAATTTCACTAGAAAAAGGTCTAATGATTTCTCAGTGCAATCAATTGTCCATCATGCAGGAGGCACACAGCCCTGCCAGTGCTGTTTCCAGGGGATGGGGATCAGTGGGTCCATGGTCAAAGCTGGAAGAGACTTGAGTACTCGTCTCTCTATCACATTGGGGCAGATGAAGAACCTGAGACCTGGACACATTCCCTCCCATTAACCCCTTTCTTGTGTGCCAGGAAGACAATGGTGGATAAACAAGCAAGAATCCTGCCTCTGTGAAGTTTGCAATTGAGGATGAAAGTAAATGTAGCCCAGCTCTGCCTTGGAGCTCTCAATCCATCATAATTACAGATGGGCCCAGGTGCTTCTTTAAACAGTTTGTATGTTGTTACTGTTGAGAACCACTGATCTACCAAGCCCTGACCTCATGGAAGAGGAAGTGGGGGGCATGGACCACCCAGCTGATTGGGACAGAGCTGGGGCTTGAGCCTCAAACTCCTTGTCCAATGCTCTTTCTACTACATCAGGATCTCACTGAAAGTATAAGACAAAACCCAAGAGATTTCCAGGCCAGTGCTCTTTCTTCTGTGTGCAGCTTCTTATGTGTAACCCCTAATACGTGCAACAGAGAGCAAGAATGATGTTTGCCTTTACCCTGCCATCTGGTGTCTTTGGACCTTTGTAAGGCTCCACTTCTCCAAGCTTGACTGGCCATTCATCGTAGAATTCCTGGAGACAATTATTTAAACATTATTAAACAAACTGTTCTTGACTTAACCATACCTTATTTGAATTGTATGTGTTTGTATATTTTATGTTAATCTCAATAGCTCTGAAATTTTAGACCTGATAAGATCTGTAACTCCCAGCAATATTGCTTATGAAATTGACTGGGGACAAGTCATTTGACCTTCATTCATCTGTAAAATAGGGATAATAGTAGAATTTATAATGTAGGGTTGTTGTGAGGAGTAAATGAATAATACCTATCAAAAACCTACTCTGACACATAGTTCAAAGTACTCAGGGTATGGTAGCTCTTTTACAAACAACAAAACTAAATCCAGGTAGGCTAAGAGGTTTTGTCAAGAGCACTCAGAGCAACCAACAATGTCAGTTGCCTTACCTAACATCCATTCTTCCCTCTTCTGACTACCAGAACCTGCTTTAATTTGGCTATTAAGTGGTAATTTCTTCAGGGAAGATGGACCATGCCCAGCCAATAACTGGCCTATATGAAGTGCCAGGATAAATTTGAAGGCACGTATGTGGTCCAGTTCTGGCCAGTGAAGAAGGGGGACAACTCTATTGAGGGGCTGTTGGAGAAAGGTATTCCTCAGATGAAAGTGACATTTTGAGGAAATGTCTCTGTTTTGTCATGTCTATGTGTCATGCCTTCAGTTGCAACAGCCATCTTGCCCCCATCAAAAAAGACCTCACAATGTGCTACAGATAGCAGAGACCTTGCCAGGAAAAATGGAAAGCACCTAGGACTTTAGTGACTATACTGAGCTCTGAATTGGCCTGCCCTAGAACTGCCCTATTTGGGGATTTCTAAACATCATTTTGATAAAGATGCTTTACATGGATCTGATGTTTGTTGAAGTTGAAAGCATCCTAAACAATGTATTCAGCTAGAAAGTAAAAAACCAGGATCAGAACCCAGTTCTCTTGATGTCTGATTCTATATTTGTCCATTAAGACCTATGACTCTGAAAAGCAACTACCAATCACATGGGTAGCAAGAAATATACATGATACAGTGTCTATTATATTGACCTCCAGACCTCCAACAGAGGTAACCAAGATGAGAAATGAGCATTATATTATGAATCAAATGAAATATTTCATTATTTCTACTTTAAAATGAATTCAGAAAAAATTCTCAAATTGGTCATGATAGTATCATTTACTATGAACCTACTGTGTACTCGATACTTTTTATGGGTATTCTCAAATCTTCACAACTGATAAGAGATGTTCTCATTTTTCAGATAGGGAATGCTGAAAGATCGGCTGGAAAGAAGAAAGTCAGAGAACTGACATCACCAGACTTCAAGTCATACTATGAAGCTACAATGATCAGGACAGTGTGGTGTTAATAAAATGATAGACAGATAGAGCAGTAGAAGAAATAGAGAGCTCAGAAATAGACCTATATAGATATAATCAATGAACCTTTGCTAAAGGAATGAAGGCCATAGAGAAAGACCAGTCTTTCAACAAATTAGGTTGGAACAATTGGGCATCCATAGGAAAAAAACAAATCTACACACAGACCTTGTACGTTTCATAAAAATTAACTCAGAATGAGTCATAGGCTTAAATGTAAGATGTAAAGTTATAGATTCTAGAAGATGACATCAGAGAAAATCTATGAGTCTAGACTTGGTGAGACTAGATACAACACCAAAAGCACAATCCATGAAATTTTTAAAATAATGAACAAAATTAAAACTTCTGCTCTATAAAAGTTGGTGGTAAGAGAATGTAAAGGTAAGCCACAGACTGAGAGAAAATATTTGCAAAACGCATATTCAATAAAGGATTTTTATCCAGAATATGCAAGGTCTTGCTATGTTGCCCAGGATGGTCTTGAACTCCTGAGCTCAAGTGATTCTCCCACCTCAGCCTCCTGAATGCAAGGATTGCATGTGTATTCCACCATGCGTAGCTGCAAAGAGCTCTTAAAACCAAACAATTAGAAGTCAAGCAACCCAATGTAAAAATGGGCAAAAGAGCTAAACAGATATTTCACCAAAGAAGACATACAGTAGCAAATAAGCTTATGAAAACATGCTCAACATCGTATGTAATCAGGGGTTTGCAAATTAAAACACCAAAGATGACACCACATCTGTTAGAGTGGCTAAAACTTAAAATACTGACACCACCAACTTCTGGTGAGGCTATGGATATTCAAATGATCCAGTCACTTGGGAAGACGGTCTGACAGTGTTTTACAAAGATAAACACAGTCTCACTATATGGCCCAACAATTGCTCTCTTTGGTATTTAGCCAAATGAGTTAAAGACTTATGTATATACAAAAGACTAAATGCAGTGTTTTTGGCAGCTTTATTAATTGCTCCAATTAGAAGTAACCAAGGTGCCCTTCAATAGGTAAAGTGAGAAACTGCTATACCAAGGGATATTATTCAGTAATTAAAAAAATAAGATAAGCTGATACATGGGATCAATCTACATGTCTATTAAATGGGATGAATGGATAAAGAAAATATGGATACATGAATAATAGAATATATTCACCCTTTAGAAAGAAGCAAATCTTATCCTTTATGACAACATGAATGAATGGGAGAACATCATGCTGAATGAAGAGCCAGGCACAGAAAGACAAATAGTGATATCTCACATGTGAAATCTAAAAACATCAAACTTACAGAAGTACAGAGTAGAATGGTGGTTACCAGAGGCTGGGGGAGTGGTAGGCAGGGAGAATAGAGAGAAGTTGTCCAAATGTTACAAAGTTCCAGTTAGACAGGAGGGATGAGTTTTCAAGAATTATTGCATAAAAGGATAACCATAGTTAATAATAATGTACTGTATTTCAAAATGGCTAAATGTTTTTGCCAGAAAAAGTATATGAGGTGACAGATATGTTAATTAACTTGATATAATCATTTCAATATGTACATTTACCAACATATCATACTGTACCTTATAAATATATGTAATTATTATTGATCAATTATTTTAAATTTTTTTTAAGAAATAAAACCTTTTAAACGAGCTACCAAGTGATGAAAAGACATAGAGGAAGCTTAAATGCACATCGCTAAATGAAAGAAACTGGTCTGCAAAACCTCATACTGTATGATATATACTATAAAATATTCTAGAAAAGGCAAAACTATAGAGGCATTTAAAAAAATCAATGGTTGCCAAGGGTTTGGAGGTGGTGAGAATAGGCTGAATAGGAAGAGATCAGGATTTTTAGGGCACTGAAACTATTCTATATGATATTGTAAAAACAGATACATGACATCGTGCATTTGTCAAAGCCCACAGAACTACACAACACAGAGTGAACCTTAATGTCAAGAATGAACTTTAGTTAATAACGCATCAATACTGGTTCATCAACTGTAACAAATGTACCCCACCAATGCAAGATGTTAACAACAGGGGAACCTGGTGGCAGGCGTGGGAGGAATGAGGATGTTTATGGGAACTCTACATTCGGCTCAATTTTTCAAAAACCTAAAACTGATCTAAAAATTAACTAATAAAAACAGAACAGACTTGCTGAAGATACATACAACTAGGGAATGGAAAAGCCAAAATTCAAGCCTGTATCATTTTCCACCCCACGACGCACACTTTTGCCTTTGTACCACGCCTTACTTGGCACTGATTCTTGTGCCATAATTGATTATTTATATAGTGCATTCATTTTTCAATGGATCATGTTTCATTTCATATGCACTTTTAGGTGAATTTAAGGGAGACAAGATGTATTGAACAGTGAGGACCTTCTCCTTGGTCATGTCCAGCAGTCCAATGGAGTATCGTTCGCAGTTCAGGTATGTTCTAACTGTGTACAGTGCTTTGTGAAACTGTCGCTCAACGTCTGTGAGCTCTTCAAATACTTTATTGGCTGACCACATAAGGATCTGAAAGTAGGTTTAAGAAGAAAACAATTAGAACAAAATACACTATAAACATTAGCCCAAAGAAAGCATGGGTGCATAATGAAATGAATGCATATCAGTAGACACTGAGATGCTAGTTTTGAATATGTAAATGTCCAGCAAATACTTGGACTCTCTAAGTGGGATGATATGGAGACCTTTGCAAGGATATGGGTTCCATGGGTGGAAGCCATGATTGTCCAACTATTTTGGCTTCAAGGGGCAAGTGCTCTCCCATTGGCTATAGAGGATCCATTGGCTCCTTTTGTCCCTCATGGGTAGAAAACCACATACTCCTTCCTGCATCCATCGCTAGCTACAGATAACTGACCTGGATAGTTAGAATGGGAAGGGACCTTAGAAACCTCCATCCCAACACCTACTCCTGCATTGCATGAATGAGGAAGTTGTGGTTTCTGGCTGTTAGCATCTCTCATCTTCTGCCTCATAAAAAGAGTGAAGCTCAAAGAAGTGATTTTTCAATTTGAATTAATAGCTTTTACTGTAACAGAGGAACTTCCAAAGCTTTATGTGAGAACTAATGACTACTTAATGGTCACGCCAATCACGTGAACTATAATTATCATCACTATCCCATAGATGAAGAAACCAAAGATCCCAGGACTTGGACTGAAAAAAGCCCAGCCAGTTGTGCATACAGATGGAGAGCTGGAAGAAAGGAGAGGAGACCATGAGAGGACCCTGAGGATTAAGGTAAGGGGATCTGCTCCACGACTTAAATCCTCAGGAGGGTAGGAGAGGTCTGGCTTGTTGCCTCCAGGACCCTTTGTCATAACAGGTCAGCACGGAGTGACTAAAGTCACCTCCCCTTTACCTGGCTTCTCCGGGATTCAACACTGTACAGGTAGCTGGTATGCTGAAACTTTAGGATGACAGAAACGAAGCTGAGGCATTTGGAAAAGACCTACGGATGGCAGAGAAGAACAAATTATGGTTGTGACACCTTCTTTTGGTTATACAACAAAAACATTTCCCATGCCTCTGATTGGACACCTGGGGTTAGCATTACCTCCTCATCTTGTCTGGAAAACTCAGATGAGTTGACTTTGTTTAGTGCCATGACCACAGCAAGGACCTCCTTGCCCACCATGATCGGGGTTGCCAGCAAGTTCCTAGTGACATACCCAGTTTGTCTGTCCATGAAGTCAGAAAAATGGCTGTTCTGAAAAAAAATATTCACATTTGCAAAACAGCACAGAATCATGGAGCAGTAGATCTAAGACATTCTCTTTAATCCAAATCTTGTCAACAGATAACCAGAGCTCTCATAAGCCAGGTAAAGGGAAGGTGACCATGGTCACTGCATGATGACCTATTCTGACAAAGGGACACAGAGGCAACAAACATCCTCATACACAACCATCTTTTTATGACTGCATAGAATGAAATTGTCCCTTTTAGAAGGAATACTTCACACCTGAGCTGTGACTCTCTAGGCTAGGCTGAGGTTGGCTCAGGAAGAAAGAGGTGACTTCATGGCCAACTAGAAAATGAGGTGATAAAAGGAAGGAGGGGGAGGCAAAGTTGCAACAGACAGGGAAGGAGAGAGGGCTGAGACCACAGACATCATTAGTAAAGATGTACTTGAAACCAGGCAACCCCCATATTGTAACTTGAAGAAAAAAATCAAGAATTTTCCTAACTCCTTCCAACTTAAGGAAATTGTTATCAACTGTTTGGTACGTCTCCTTATATGCCTGTCTCTATGCTGGGACAAAGATTTTTCTTTTTTCTTTTTTTAAATAAAATTTCCTTTTGTAATTTTATGTCATGCATTTATCACTTAACATCATCTTATAGACATCCCTCCAGACCAATGCATGTGGCTGTGAACTCATCTCAGATTCTTACACAGTACTCCACACTATGGATGCTCTGTGACCATTCAACTGTCCTCCAAGGGTCCAGTCTGTTCATAGTGCTCCCCACTACAAACAACACTGCTCTACTCACTGCTGCTCTTGCTTTTATATGTGGGATTCCCAAAGCAGGAATCCCTTTTTCTGGATCAACAGGTTAAATGCAATTTTTATTTACACAGGTTAGTTTTATGAAAGGTTGAAATTTTTACTTTCATTGACCCTATGTGAGAAGCCCACCTTCTTGCCAACATCAGATGCTTCCAGCTTTTCAATGTTTTAACCACACTAATGGCCTTTATGTTTTTCTTTTTCATTCCTTTTTTTCTTTTCTCTCCCTTCCTTCCTTCCTTCCCTCCTTCCTTCCTTCCCTCCTTCCTTCCTTCCCTCCTTCCTTCCTTCCCTCCTCCTTTCTTCCCTCCTTCTTTCCTTCCCTCCTTTCTTCCTTCCTTCCTTCCTTCTCTCTATTTCTCTCTCTCTTTCTTTGTTGTTGTTACTGGGGTTTGGACTCAGGACCTTGTTCTTGGTAGTCAGGTACTTTACCACTTAAGCCATGATCCCAGTCCTTTTTGTTTTAGTTATTTTATCAAATAGCATCTCGATTTTAGCTGGATTAGCATCTCAATTTTAGCTGGACCAGCATCAGACTCCAGTCCTCCTACCTATACCTTCTGTATAGCTGGAATTACAGGCATGCACCATCCACACCTAGCTTGTTTGTTGAGACAGAGTCAGACTAACTTTTTGCCTGGGCTGGCCTCGAGCCATGATCCTTCTGATCTCTGCCTCCTGAGTAGCTGCGGTTACAGATATGAACCACCAAGCCAGGCCAATCTTTCTGTCTTCAGGAGAGATGAAGGCGAATCTTCTGGATACAAGCTTCCTATAGTAGATGCAACAGATGAGCCTGCCCTGGTCATGGTGAGGGCTAAGTGATAAGTTCAGAGAGATGCACAAAGGGAAAGGCTTGTGAAGGTCAAGGAAGGCAGTTACATATTCACTGCAATTTCAGGGAATGCTCACTGTAGATGGATGTAGACCCAGCCCCTCATGAATTCTGACATTCTTCCCTTTGAACGAGGGTCTTTTTCAGCACAACACTGAAACTCTCTAACCACAGCTAATGTGGCATTCCTTTTATAAGCTGAGTTATTTTCATTTTCCAGCTGATGGCACTTCTAAAACAGCACAAACTCTGGAGGCTGGATTCTTCAGTTTCCCAAAGAAAAACTGTGAGAGTCTACTACTGTGTGATTTCCAGGCAGAATTTCTGCCAGGGAACAAAGTTTCCTTGGCCAATAGAACTCCTGGCTCAACTCAGAGTTGAACTGAGTAGTTGTGAGCTGTGCCTCAGAATCCCTGCGGATAAGTCAAAGACCCCGCTGCAGACTCATTTAGTTCCAGTCTTCTAAAGTGGGCTCAGCATTCCTTAGGATCAGCACTTCTAAGTGTTCCGGGGAATCCTCATATTCAGCCCACTGGGATGGCTCCCAGGGAGGATCCCTAGAAATGGGGCCACTCACAATGCTGGCCCTACAGCCCAAGGCTCTACTATTCCCTTCCCAAGTGGAAGCACCTAAACCAGCTATTTCTTTGGGAGGCACCAGTGCATAACAGAGAAGGTCTGGACTCAGCCTTCTTTGCCTGAAAGTAGGCCCCAATTTACTAACTGTGTGATCCTGCCCTTGTTTTCTAACCTGAAAGGGGGAATTTGATATTATCTACTACCTAAAGTCCACAGTGTAAACACAGAACAAGAATTTGGGGAGAATACTCAGAAAAGCATATGACATGCAGGGCAAGGTGGCTCATACCTGTAATCCCAGCTAGTGGGGAGGCAAAGATCAAAGAGGATTGTGGTTTGAGGCCAACCTGAGCAAAAAGTTTGCAAGACCAATAAAAGCTGGGCATGGGAACACAGCTGTCATCCCAGCCACATGGGGAGCATAAGTAGGAGGATCAAAGTCCAGGCTGTCCCAGGCCTATACTCGAGCCCCTATTTAAAAATAACTGAAGCATGACAGGTTGATAGAACATGCCTTGCAAGTGCAAGAATCTGAGTTCAAATCCCAATGCTGCCGAGAAAAGAAGAAGAAGAAAGGAAAGAAAAAGGAAAGTGTGTGACATGTAGCAGATGCTCCACAGATATTGGAAAGAGAAACCTGAGATTTCTGCTCTCTTTTGCAATTACCAATTTGCTTCTAGTCCTAGCTTTTCTAACCAATTATAGTTACTGAGGGATTGACTTAGCAGGATATAGGCCTCTGGTGCCCAGAAACACCCTTCCTCCGAGGGTCAGTGCTCTCACCATGACCCAGCCATATTTCTTTTCTGACCACTTTATCTATTCCTTCTCTCTGCTTCCCATAGCTTCTTCACTGTCAAGGCAGATGTCTCCAGACCTCCTTAGATTCTTTCTCTTAATCCATTGCTTGCCTGGGCCGGCTTTCATCCTGTTTTCTTCCTACCCTAGCATCCATTACAGATTGTCTTCATTTACACAGCAGTCCTGGACACGAAAAGAATAAACAAAATTCCAGACACACGCACCAGGGGTGGAGGCAGGTAGTATTTCTTTCCAAACACACTTCACTCTGCAGCTTCAAAACTTGATGTCATTTTATTCTAGATAAAGAACAAAATTTTATTCTAGAACTTAAGAACATATCCTTGTTTCAAGAAAATGGCTTATAACTTTCAAAATTTAATGCTTGCACATTCCTGAATCTGAAGGCCCTAGAAAAACAATCAAATTACAGGGCAGGGGAGGTAAGGCTTTCTTGTTCTTATATTTTCACTAGCTCAAATAGTTGTTAGTGAAGTTTCTCAGACTTCTAAATTCTCTTGGTGGCCTTTTTCCAAAGAAGCTCCTGAAGGCAAGCAGAGAACATTGTTTAGTGCACAGGGCATCTGATCCCTCCTGGGCCTCACTGTGGGTAAATCCTAACTAAACAGTTAACTCTTGGGATCAGGAGGTAGAAAGAGAGGTGGGAAGGAAGAAGGAGGAGGGAGAAAAGGGAACTGTAAGCGCCCTGTTAATTTTTGAAAAACCTCAACCTTCTCCTGTGGCTTTTCTTTAGACCACAGTCAGATTCAGGAACATCATACAGTTAATGAACAGCTCTTCCCATAGAACAAGAAAGAATTAGTTTTAAGAGGATTTTCTCAGTTTCCTGTTGTTACAAGTTTTCCTGGTCATAACCTGGTTTAAAACAGTCATTGACTCTTTTTGGCGACCTACCCTCAGGCCTCTGCACCCCCAACCTCCTACTGGCACAATGATGGTCATTGCATGCAATCATGACCTAAGCACTCATTACGAGTCAGCACTTTATGCATTATTAATCTGTACATTTGGTTATCTCCATTTCTCAGGGGTGGAAATTCAATCCATCACACAGTTACCAAACTTCAGTCTTGGATCAGCACCCAGGTTTGACTGATGCTCAAATGCTCACCCTAAATCAGGTGACTTCCTTGTTACCACCTGCATGGACCTCCAGGGTCAGGAGTGTCCAGCTCTGTGTCATCTAAGTGTGAGCAGTCTTTCTCTCACCTGTGCCGCACTGCTAACTAGAGGAACATCGGGTGGGCAGTGGTGTGGACAGGAAGAAGGAGGCCTCAAAGACCCTGGTTATCATTCTAGACCTGCCACATCTTGCCTACCTGTCCCTGAGTGAAGGACTGCTTCAGATATGGAAATGCAAAGGGTCCCTGCCTCCTGCACAAGGTCTTTGTCAGGATCAAATAAGATTAAGAATGTGAAAATGCTTTGTAAATTGCCAAGTACAATGGAGAGGTGAAGAATGAGTGGGAAATTCCATTCAGAACATTGGTTTCTGCTTCCTCTCTGGTTGTAGATTCACCACAAGACTAAAACATGATGAAACCTCAGTGATGCGGGGTTGGTGGAAGAGCACAGGCCACAGTCAGAGGCCTCAACTCTATTCCAGCCCTTCTCAGTCCCTGACATGTACCATGGACTCTGGGGAAGGTACAACTCCCTGCCCTCAACTTCCCGTCCACTACAGGACAGAGTTGGGCTAAAGTCTTGCCAAGCCCTGTTCATCTCTACTATTCCACAGTTGATTTGAAATTCACCTCCTTCTCCTACATCCACTCGCCCAATAGACCAGTGGTTTTTGACATTGGCTGAATCACCTGGGGGCTTTTAAAAATCCCATTGTCTATGTTGCAACCTGAAAACATGCCTGCTATAACTGACCTACTGAGGGTCTCAGCAACAGTATTTTTTAAGCTACTCTAATTTGATTTTAATGTACAGCCAGAGTTAAAAAGCACAGCTTTGCTGGGGGAAATGTTTACAATCACAAGCAAGGGAGTGCAAATGAGGCCTCTGTCTCCTCTCTGAGCTCCGGCAGATGTCTGTCTTCAGCACACACTTCTGTGTCCCACTCAGAATGGCAGGAGTCCTTGGAAGAAGGAGAGACATATCCACTTGTGAACTGCCCTGTCTTTGTGACCATGGACCACTTCATCTTTTAAGCAGCTCCTTTCTTTTCATTTATCACCAAACTGGAAAACTGAGCTCTTTAATATATTACAGCAGAAATCATTTTCCCTTCTCTCCTTTAAAAAAATCCTCAGAAAGAAATTCTCAAATGTCAACTTCTTAAGTTTGATGTCCCAGTGATGGACTCAGTTGAAGACTGGGAAGAAACATATTTTCATGAGAAAACCTCAGGTTGTGGAGACTTCTAGCTGGGATCAAGAGAAACTGGTCTTAAGGGCACATACCAGTTTAGCTGCCTGAAGCAGCTGCTTTTGCCTCAAAAGCAAACTCAAACCAGCTTAAACTCCCAAGGGAAGGACCACAAAGAACCAGGATGCTAAGGGCCCCAGAGCAACCCTTGCACTGGGATGTCCTGCAGTTGTTTGCTGAGTGGTGCAAATATTTAACGAACTGCTCCTTCCAGGTCTGTGTGAGCCCCTCCTGTAATCAGCTTCAGGAAGCATTTGGAGATTATCCTCCTGCCTCTCCAGCTGCCTAAATCACACGCTGACACTAAATCCCGACAGAGAGCATTTCAGGGACTGTGCCCCTCCCGTTCAACTCTGCTCCAGCATAATCCATCTCTTCCATTTTGTTAATAGGAAATCATAATAATGGGACTCAGGTGTAGAGAATGGGCTGTCAGGAGACGCCTCAGGCTGGTGTTCATGATTGTTGCCACGCAAGGGAGTATAGTTGATTAGCATTTTGCAATTTTTCTAAAATGGACAGAAGAAGAGTTAATTTTTCTGTTTTTATAAAAAGTACAACACTGCATTGTATTGTTCCAGTGTGCCTTTGGTCTTCAGGAGGGTAAAGATGTCCAGTTTACTTTCATTCTTCATAGATCTGAGTTGGGGGAGGAGTGGTCAACTGCACTTGATCACCTAAATTCACATCTGGAATGATCCAAATCTAATGTTTGAACTTTCAAATGCTGTAATTTTTTTTTTTGCACATTTGGTCTATAGATGAAAGGATCAATTTATGAGCCAGGTTCATCCCAAAGAAATCTCCCAGGGTTGTGAATGAGGGACACGGGATCAAGTCCCCGTTGTGGGCATTGATGGCTGATCTCCCTGTGGTTGGCCTGCTCACCTACTGTTGTTCAAAGGATAACACCCAACACAATGGGGAAAGTAGAAGGGCAGAAGTGGAACACACCATACCCATTTTACCAGATCGCCTGGTAAAATGTCAGACATCACATGGGGTATGCTTATGTTGAAAACCATTATTCGTTGTTCATCTGAAATTCCAGTTTAACTGGAAGCCTTCTATTTTTACTTGCTAAATCTGGCCTGGGTTGCGCCTTTTTCCCCATTGCCTGCCCTTCCTGGGTTTTAACTGAACCAATGTCACGGGATGATGCTAGCTGTCTCCCAGTGACTCCTCCCTGACCCCGCTAGGACCTCTGCCCTGCTATCAAAAGGGCACCTACCTTTTTTACATCTGGGACATTAAGGGCTTTCTTCGTGTGAGCGACCCAACCCACTATGCCAATGTCCAATGGAAACACGACTTCTCTGTCGGGGGCCACCAAGTTGTCCTCAAACTTGGAGGTTGGGGTGATGTCCAGCAGCCTGGATGCCACCTCAGGCATGCCGTTGCGGGCTCGGCACAAGAACATGCTGCAGCGATCGGCCTGTAGCAGCCGGGCCAGCCTCTGCAGGGCCCTGTGAGTCGCCAGCTCGCTGCTGCCCGCCTCTGCCTGCACAGACAGCAGCAGCTCCAGGCACAGGGCCGACTCCTCTGCCCGTGTCAGCTCGGGGAGTAGCATGCTGGTCTGGCTCACCCCTGTGCTGTGCTGCAAGAGTTGCCCCTGTGCCTCCACCTGCAGCTTCTTGTCAAAGTATTCCTTGACAAACTGAGGGTTCTCCTCGAGGTATTTCTCCACAGCGTCTTGGCTGATCTCTCCCATGGTGGGGCTCGCGTTGCAGTTGTTTAGAAAGGAAGACTCTTAGAATGCTACCTGAGGCAGTGTGACTGGAAGGAGAGACATCCTGATCAAAGTGACTGAGGAATCCCTACATGGTACCCATAACCCTTCTAAAGGTGAAGCGGAAACTTGCTTAGCAGAGCTTCCAAACTGCCTAAGACTCCTGGGACGTGACAGAAGGTCCTGGCTTATGGTGGCATTCAGGAAGCAGAGGATTAGAGAGTTCTTTAGGACACTAAATCCCTGGGCATTATCAGCCCTCTAAGTCCTCAGAGCATCCTAGATCAGCCAGGAGTAGATCCTAGATCAGTCAGGTTCAAGGGCTATTACAGAAAAATAACTGAACTGCTGATACCCACAGCAAGGAAGAATCACTGACCTTACGTTATCACTTACTGGCAATTTAAATTGTTCTTTTGATATAGCTAAAAGAAGTATTTGTGTGTAGATCTTGAGGTGCTTGGGGGTTTTTGTTTGTTTATATAGGAAGTTTAATGAACATTGGGACAGATGGAAGGGTTTAGCATCAAAACAACCTAAAAGTGAATACTAATCTTTTTCTTTCCTTAAAAGTCTTCTAATCACTCGGGTTGCTTGGTTTAAAGCCCTTCCCTCTCAATTACCCTCACTTTTGAAAGCTTGATTGACCTCAGACATGTTTTTAAAATACAAAACCTTAGGGATGGGTGTGGTAGTATGTGCCTGTAATCCCAGCTATTTGGAAAGCAGAGATAGGAGGACCACAGTCTAAGGCACCCCTGGGGGAAAGCATGAGACCTTATCTGAAAAATAAACTGAAAACAAAAAGAGCAGGATGAGGGAGTGCAACTCGCTGGTAGAATGTTTGTCTAACGAGTGCAAGGCCTTAAATTCAAATCTCAATACCTCAAAAAAAAAAAAAAAAAGATATGAACCTTGGGCTTATTACTACAGAGGTGAACACAGCAAAACATTTGCCTACAATCCACAAACTGAATAATGACATTTGTTATGAGACATAATTACAAGAAGTGAACCATGTCGTTGCTGAGTTTTCCTGCTAGGCATGTTAGCTTGAATTTTTTAAAATGTTAATAGTAATAGGGGAGCATCATGCATTTTTGCTCCAAGGTAGTTTAGCAAATCCACTGGGCAATAGCTCTCTTCTGTGTTGCTAGGATCTTGAATGTCTCAGGGGCTGCTGACATGGAAAGAACACTTAGCCCTACTTAGTTTTGTTTAATGTTCAGTTTATTAAGCTTTTACATCTATTAAGCACATTTCCCCAAATATTTGAACACTGTCATGAATGTAACAAGTCAAACTACACATTTCATGAGTCAATTGTCTGGAATATTTAAACGCTGGTTCTAAACTTAAGGAAGCTCTTGTAAACATTTCAATAAAGCTACAAACCTAATAGGACACAGTCTCTTAAGAGAAAAACACGGAGCGTGTCACACTAAGAATTATTATACGCCCACCCTTTGAGTTGGCTCTAAAAAACAGTGTACAGGTTTTTCTTACTGCTGTAAACTTAAAGCTTCACCTTGCTAGAATGATAGTAATCACACTGGTCACAAAAGGAAAAGACAGGTTCAAGACCACAGGTTCTAGGCTCTGAATTGAGAGGTTCTTGTTGGAACATGGTTCTTCCAGGGGAACAGAGCTCAAACTGGCATTAGTTGAGTTATACTGGTTCTTATGGCTGAGATCCACCTGCTACTTCAAAGTATCTTGTCAAATGCATACATTTGCTTGTACCTCTCCATGTCACACCAAGTCTAGCCTCAGGAGGGTCCTCCTCAGATGACTATTTACTTCATTACATCCTATTAGCATGTCATAATTTCCTAATTATGTAGAGGTATATTTCCTAAGAGAAAGAGTTGAGTCAACTGAGTCACCCCTCCTACCAAATTGTCAGCCTCTTTTAACACAGTGTTGGATATTCCTTTCTACACAGTTATTTTGTGTGACAATGGAGCAATTTCTCCTTCTTCCTGAAGTCTGTGGTTTGCTCACAATTCCTGGGTTCCATTCTTCCCTCTTTAAATGTAGAGAAACGCATACCTGTATTCCATGACATATTTGGGTTTTATTGTTGTTGTTAGCCCTCTACCACTGAGCTCCAACCTCAACCCCTTCATACCCAGATTTGTATTTAAAGGGAAAAACCAAAAACACACATGTGTTTATATTCTCTTATTTAATTTGAAAAAGAAACATTATCTATTATAGTCAGCATTCATTTGTTTTTACCACTCATTTATATGCTTATTGTTTTATCATATGTCTATTGATTGTCCATTATGAGCAAGGCATTATGGTAGCTACTGTTGTAGGCGCTTCATGTTCCCCAGGTACATGGGAAGATTACTCTTCTTTGCATCTTCTCCTCTTGTAGAGCATAAGATTAACTTGGGTCAATGGGCCATAAGCAGAAATGCCACTTCCAGAGACCAGTGATTAATTTCCACTAGGAAACTCTCCAGCTCTCTCTTCTCCCTGCTGCCATGTTAGTTTCTTATGGATTCACTCCTGAATCCCAAAGTCAAGATGGCAGGGCACAGAGGCCCCTACTGACCTGAGATGGGCATGTAGCACGAGTGAGAAATAAACCTGTTTGTGGGCTGGAGGCATGGCTTAAGTGGTACAGCACTTGCCTAGCAAATAAAAAGCCCGAGTTCAAACCCCAGTACCACCAAAACAAAATAAATAAACCTGTTTTGTTTCCAGCCTCTGAGATGTAAGGGTCTTTTGTTACTGCAACATAGTTAAGTCAGTTCTGACATTTACACTTCATGGGTCAGGAGAGATGAAGAAGTTTTGGTTCCAGACTTTTTTACAACACTTGTGGTTTGGTAAGGGAGATGAAACTGGTCTAAGGAAAGTCGTGTGCCATTGAACAGAATTGACAAATGCCAAAATGTGATAAATACACATGGCTATGAGAGTTCAGCAAAGAGAACACATAGAGAGTAGGTGAAGATAAGGTGGAGGTTGAGTGTGTTCCAGGCAGTACCAGCAGAGCAGGGGTGTAGAGTGTAGGGTAATAAGGAGAACAACTAGAGACTAGTCAGGAAGGTCTAGTGGGTGTAGATTACAGAGATCTCAAAGGTTCAACTAAGGATTTTGAATCCTGGAAAGTTTTGACATGTGAGATGACACTACTAGGTTACTTCTCTCTAAAATTAATCTTGTAATATTGGCCTTATGGAATGAGTTTGGAAAGGCTTTCTTCCTTTCAATTCTATGGACTAGTTGAGAAGCATTGGTATTAGTTCTTCTTTAAAAGAAAAAATGAACAATGAAGCCATCCAGTCCCAGTCTTGTTTTTTATTGGCAGACTTGTTACTACGGATTCAATCTCATCATTATTATTGATATACCTATGTATAGGTTTTTAAGATCCTAGCAAGGACACAACAACAATAAAAAGAAAACTGTAGATCAATATTCCTGATGAACACCGAGGCAAAAATTCTCAACAAAATACTTGCAAAGTGAATTCAATCATGTGCACCATAATCATACACTAAAATAAGGTTGGTTTCATTCCAGGGATGCATGTATGGGTCAACACACTCAAATGAATAAAAGTAATGCATCATCACATAAATAAATCAAGAGTAAAAAATCACATGGTCAGCTAGGCAAATGCAAAAAGGCATGTGATAAAATTCAACATCTGGTAATGATAAAATCCTTGAACAAATTAGGCATAGAAGAATCATACCTCAGTTAGGCACCTGTGGTTCACACCTGTAATCCTAGCTACTCAGGAGGCAGTGATCAGGAGAATTGCAGTTCGAAGCCAGCCTGGGCAAATAGTTCACAAGATCCTATCTTGAGAAAACCATCATGAAAAAGGGCTGGTAGAGTGGCTCAAGGTGTAGGACCTGAGTTCAAATTCTAGTACTGTGAAAAAAAGAAAAAGAAGAATCATATCTCAACAAAATAAAAGCTATATATGCAAGCCCACAAGAAACATCCTTCTGTTTTGTCTTTGTTTAGGTGTACTGTAGTTTGAACTCAGGGTCTTACACTTGCTAGGCAAGTGCCTTACCACTTAAGTCACACCCCAGCCTGCCAACATCATTCTGAAAGGAGAAAACCTGGAAATATTCCCTGTAAGATTAGGAACAAGACAAGGGTGTCCACTCTCATCACTCTTATTTAATATAGTATTAGAAATTTTAGCCAGAGCAATTAGGCAAGAGAAAGAGAGAAAAGTTATATAAATAGGAATGGAGGAAGCCAAATTAAATTATCTCTGTGTGAAATGATATGATTCTACACATAGAAAAACCTAAAGATGCCACCAAAAGACTGTTAGCAATGATAAGTGAATTCAGTAATATAGCAGGATACAAAATCAACGTACAAAACTCTGTAGCTTTTCTACACATAAACATGAATTCACTGAGAAAGTAATCAGGAAAGTAATCCCATTTAAAAGACACACACATGAGAAATATCTATACACCTAAAAATAAATCTAACAGGGACATGAAAGACCTCTACTAAGGAAGAAATTGAAGAACACACTAAAAGAAAGACCTCCCATGTTCATGTATTAAGAGAATAAATATTGTTAGATGTCCATACTACCCAAAGTGCTCTACAGATTCAATGAAACCTCCATCAAAATACCAGTGACATTCTTCACAGAACTAGAAAATATCCTAAAATTCATGTGGAAGTACAAAATTCCCCAGCAAAAAAGAGCACAGCTGGAGCCATCACAATACCTGAGTTATAGACACAATGAACTGCACAGTATTACATGGCAGCAACATATAGACCACTGAACAGAATAGAAGACCCAGAAATAAATTCACACATCTTTGGCCGACTGGTGCTGGGAAAACTGGTATCCAGTAGGAGTTTGAAATTTGCCTGAAGCTCACCCTGTACAAAAATCAATTCGAAATGGATCACAGACTTAAAGCAAAGAATAGAAACTCTAAAACTACTACAGAAAAGCATAGGGGAAACAC